ATTGCGCACGGACTGTCCAGAAATTCCTAAACAAGAAGATAAAAATTACCTGAAACCTGATAATTAAAAAAATTACTGGGTTTAAGAATCCTGCAAGGCGGGGAGTGATTTTTTCTGTGGATGCTTAACCTTTCTGAAAGCACCCAGGAAAATTTGGAGAAAATTTAACAGGATACGGACTGTCCAGAAATTCACAAACTTGAAGATGAAAATCAGTAGAAACGCGGTAATTTTTAAAACATCTGGCTTTAACAATCCTGCAAGTTGAAGCAAGTTTTTCCTGTAGATGCACAAACCTTATTAATACATCTAGGAAAAATTGGAGTCTAATCGGACAGGACGCGCGCTACTACTACTAACCCTAAGAAAAAAAGTACAACAAACGCGGTAGTTTAAAAAAATTCTTGCCTTCATAAATCCTGCAAGTTGCATTGTGCATTTTTTTCTGTAGGTGCAAAAACTGTCCAAAAAACAGTAAAAACACGATAGTTTAAGAACATTCCTGGCGTTAACAATGTTGCAAGTTGAAGCAAGATTTGGTTTGCTGGGGGCACAGAAACCTTGCGAGACTGTTCATGAAAAAATTGTCCAAAATCGAACTGGGCACAGATTGTCCACGAATTCCGACACTCGAAGATAAAAATCAGCAAAATCGCGGTAGTTTTTAAACAGTTCTGAGTTCAATAACCATGCAAGTTGGAGAGTAAATTTTTCTCTGCGGATGCACAAACCCTTTGAAAGTGTTCACGAAAAAATCCAGTCAAATCGGACAGGACACGAACTGTCCAGCAATTTCCAAATTTGAAGATGCAAAGCAGTCAAAACGCGATAGTTTAGAAAAAGTCCCGGCGTTAACAATCCTGCAAACTGAAACAATAATTTTTTTGCTGTATCTAGAAACCTTCCAAATTGTTCGTGAAAAAGAGGAGCAAAATCGGACAGGACGACATACACTGTCCATAAATGCCGAAAGTTGACGGTTTAGAGCAGCAAAAAACGTAGTAGTTTTAAAAATGTTCTGACTATTAGTCCTGCAATTCGGAGCGCAATTTTTGTCTCGTGGATGCACAAATCTTTTGAAAGTATTCATAAAAAATTGGGATCAAATCGGACATATTGCGCACGGACTGTCCAGAAATTCCTAAGCAAGAAGATAAAAATTACCTGAAACCCGATAATTAAAAAAATTACTGGGTTTCAGAATCCTGCAAGGCGGGGAGTGATTTTTTTCTGTGGATGCTTAACCTTTCTGAAAGCACCCAGGAAAATTTGGAGAAAATCCAACGGGATACGGACTGTCCAGAAATTCACAAACTTGAAGGTGAAAATCAGTAGAAACGCGGTAATTTTTAAAACATCTGGCTTTAACAATCCTGCAAGTTGAAGCGAGTTTTTCCTGTAGATGCACAAACCTTAT